TTTACGACACACTAAAACACAAAACAAAACAGCACCTAATTCAGCTTGTGAGGCCTTCGTTTGGTTTATGCCCCAATTACTTCCCTCCATTTGTAAATAATTACTCATCACTATAGCGATCCCCAACTTCTTCACTTTGCTCCTGACAGGGAGCCCACGAGACCACATGCAGTACAAGACCAGCTTATGTAACCACACAGATGTTCTCGAGCTGAAGGCCTCATCCAGGTCAGGAAAAAATGTCACCAGCAAGTCCCCAGAATCTAGGAAGGAGAAGCATTTGTGCCAATGCCCTAGAATCATCAAGATTTCTCTTTTAAAGGTACACTGCCTTAGCTTCAACTCAAAGAGAAGCAGATCCTCCATGCTGTCCCTTACGGTGCCAACTAGTGGCTATCTGTCTACATTTGCATAAACTCCAACTTCACTTCCTGCGTCACACAAGCCACATTTTAAGATGTAAGACGCTTGAGGGCCTCAATCGGGTAACATACTGCAAATCACAGATTTAAAAAAATCTCTTCATCCCAGAAAGCCCCACAGGGCTGAGGGGGCTCTCGCATAGCTCTGTATCCCAAATCTGAAAATTACAGTGTAATAAAATCGGAGGAAGCATTTGTGCCTTCCACACACAGTATGCGTGTCATTTCTTCCCAAATAAGGGGGAAAGGGCCCATGGCAGGGAGCTACTCTCCCAGTGCCTATCCGTAAGAAAAACCACTGCCCACTGGGCCAAAGAAAGAGTGAAACTGGAAAACAAATGAAAACCACTGGTTGTTACTGTCATCGTTTCTATTATGTTTGCAAAAAAAAAAAAAAAAGCATTAGTGATGCCATATTCTGTATTTTTCACAAAAGGGTATGTGCTATTCACTTGACCCCTCACAGCAGAGGTTAGGTAAGGGTACTTCAGAATGAATGTGGGTGAGAGAGGCAAAGAGAATTCAATGGCAACCAATGGAAAGAATTTAGTGCCAGTGTGGGCCACTGATATTTAAAAAACAGAATCATTCCTAACTTTGAAGAACACAGTTTTTTGTGACAAATATAGTATTGTGTCTGACAAAATGAGCCAAGGACGTGCAGAAAACATACTACATGACACTTAAAAAAAGAAGAAGTTGTTGGGGCTGGAGAGACTGGCTCAGCAGTTAAGGGCACTGGCAACTCTTCCTGAGGCCGTGAGTTCAATTCCCAGCACCTACATGGTAGCTAACAACTGTCTTTAACTATAGCCCCATGGAATCTGATGCCCTCTTCTGGTGTGCAGATGTACATGCAGACCAAATACCCACATACATAAAAAAAATTTTTTAGGAACAAATTTTTCAAAAAGAAGAGGTACAAAAGAAGCAGACGAACCCTCTTAACGGAGCTATGCAAGGACTCTCAAACTCTGGGTTCTTAACCTGGGGACCTCAACCCGTTTGGAGGGTCAAAGTACCCTTTCACAGGGGTAGGCTAAAACCATTGATATTTATATTACATTTCATGATATTTATATTACATTTCATAACAGGAAAATTAGTTATGAAATAGAAACAAAAATAATTTTATGGTTGGGTGGTCACAACATGAGAACTGTATTAAGGAGTTATAGCATTAGGTTGAGACCACCGGTCCCCAAACAGTCTGACAATGCTTAAGAAAAGGGTGTCACTCGTGGTGATGGTTACAGGACAGACAGGGGAGGAACACAACGTGTGGCTGGACAATTATTTATTCCAGACCAGCGAAGTTCACATTTATGATCCATTGGCCTGGGTGAGTCTTCAAGCTCGGCTCATCACACTGCAAGGAATGTGAACACCAACCTTTAAACCTTGGTCTCAAATCTACTTACCTGTGCCCACCATGGGGCAAACGCTATTTGGTGGCAGTCATTAGTGTGCATATTCAGAGTCCTTTAGGCCACAGAAAACAACAATGATAATGCAAACAGTCACAAGATGATTAGAATTAGAACTGAGAATCGAGTTTAATGTGTTATCCGGTATTGCCTTAGGTATCAGCAAGCACATTTTCCAAACAAGTACCGGAACCCCCACATCTCGACGTACCCATCAAGATCACAGAATTAAGAAACAAACCAAGGAGGAAAAAGGGACGCTACATAAAAGCAAAGCTTTTATACTTCAGAGCGTGTGCTTCCTCCAAAATGTTCACGGCAGAACTTTTCAGACACTGTACCTAATGCGGCATTTTGTGAGCCACCATGTCGTTCTTACTTATTGACCATAGATGGAACACAGAGGCACCCTCTGGACTCTTCTCCAGTTTATACGTACGTGAAGCAACAAACATTTAAGATACTCTGAAGGATCCACCTGTTAACTTCAAATTGCTAAGCCCCCCCCCTTCCTCCACAGTAAACTTCTAGAATAGGTAGCCTGAAGGCATTAATGAATTTACCAAATGGTTCTCCTCCCTTTCAAACAAGGGAACCTTTCCAGATAAAAGCTGTAACAATAGAAATCCATGTACAGAAACTCGGGCCCTCAGGCGAACATGCACTGTTCCTAGGCTGTTCACAAAGGTGAAAGGTCTCTCAAGCAACCCCAAGTAATGGTTTCAAATATGTACACTGGAACCTGCTCCCATGAGCACCATTCAGGGCGTCCTCAAGCCATCACCTCTGCCAGAACCTCCAGTGCTTCTATTCCTCCAAATGTAAAAACTGTTACTCCTCCAGGTTGTCGCCATGTTTGCGCAGTCATACTGTCTGGCACATAGAGGCCCCATTTAGTGATAGATCGACATGTTAACTATTGGGGCTATTTTTCACTCTTCGATGCGTAAATACGGATGACTCAACAACTATCTAGCCTATCAAGCTGGCTACCTATCAGTTTTTATTCCAACTGCGTCACAACTACTGGAGAAGAAGGAGGTGAAGAAAATGGCCCTCAGTCCAGACTCTATTTGGATTTCAGTTCCCTAGCTATGAGAGTGGCTATCGGGATTAATTCTAAAGCTTGGTTGAAAAGCCAGATGTAGGTACTTCTGTGTCCAGTGCTATAACACACCTGGGAGGTCCGCTCGATCCCTCTGTCGAGTCGCCGGCCCGGAAGGGGGGGGGAGCTTGGGGAGGACAGTCGACTGGCAGGGATGCGGTGACGACGAACCCAAATACAGCTCCTGGGGAACAGCTGCGACCAGCCCCACAAGACTGTACCTCGCGGTAGTTTTCGGACTGTTCAGGGTCTGCGACCCTCCCCCGCGTCCCGGTCGCCGGCGCCCAGCCCCCTCGCGGCCGCGGCACGTGACTCGACACGCGCCAGCTGCACGCGGGCTCCATCAAAACAAAAACAGAGGAGGCGGGACGGGCGGGGGCGCGCGCGCGCGCTCTCGCCACCGCAGCTCGTCCGCCACGATCGCGCGCCTCCGCCCGGCCGGGGGCGGGAGGGCAGAGGGCACCACCCTGTTTACCGCCCGGCTCGGGCCCTAAGCCGGAAACGGTCTCCCGGGAGCGGGCGCGTGAGTGCGCACCCACCCGCGGAGCGGCCCTGCGTGGGCAGCGAGCGAGGGCCACGGCGGCTGCGTGTCACCCCCGTCACGACTCTTGCTACGCACTTCGCCCCCAGCTTTCAGCTCGCGAGCTTGCTGCGGACCCCTCACGTGGCCGCCTCCTCCCTGACACGCCGTTCCGAGCGAGCGGTGGCTGCGGACCCTGGCGCTCCGGAGTCTTGTCCCCACCCCGCCTCGGACGTCACCCGCCTCGGACCACCCAACCCACACCTTCCGCCCCGGGCGCGCGCGGGAGGGGGTAAATGGCTCCAAGCTGTCAGAAGCCTACAGTGTGCCACATGACGAAGCTCGCCCTCGTCCTCGCCACTCACGCAGCAGCTTCGCTGCGAGCTGAAACAGACATATTGGGGGGGGGACTGTCTTGATTTTTCTCTCGGTTTTAAAAGCATCCCCCTCCCAATACATAAGCGTTAGACTCCGTTCTACCTACGCACTCGCTTTGCCTCCCCCAGTCTCCTACCAAATCCGAGCGACTTACCAAATCCAAATGCCCACCCTACACACCTGCTAGGTAACCTGTCTCCTCGAACCCCGAAGCCCCACCCACCTCGCCTGTAGGCACAACCTGTGTTGGGGGGGTGAGGCAATAAGATCAGGTAGTGACAGAGAGGGGGGCATGCACCCCCTACGCCTCCCCCAAGCCCTCATCTCCAAAGCAAGAGGACGCATCCTGCTTCCCTCCGCCAAAATAATAGCCGAAGTCAAAGCTCCGGCTTCCCAGGGGCTGCCTCTCCTCCACCCCCCTCCCCTGAGAACCAAACGTCGCCCCCCCCAACCGCTTGCCCCCAGCCCTTACTTCTTGTAGACGACAGAGGTGGGGGGGCGTGGGAGCCATGTATGAGTTGCCTCTAGGTTCGGGATGTTGGTCTCCTCTGAGTGAAGAGGTGGGATCTCGAAATGGAAACAGTCCTCCCTCCCCCCACCCCCCGCCGGTCCCTCCCCTCCCCTCCTCCTCCTCCTCCTCCTCC